CTAAGAAGAATTTTTCCAACTATTTGAGCTGGTCTAATAAAAGATATCAGATTTACCCAAAGAACCTTGTCTGTCACTAGTATTTTATGTTAGTTCAGTTTTTCCTTGGAACTTAGCAACCATTACTGACAACTTAGTTGTTAAAGTTCTCTCAGAGACAGTATGTGGGCTGTATTGAAAAACACTACACCAAACAGTAGTATGTTATTAGCTAGGAGAATACCTTTATGTAGAATTTAAGTTTGGAGATTTCAAGCAAACACCAAAAGTTTCTTGGCTGTAGACAAATGATAGAACCCTGTGTGTATCTATGTTTCTCTCTCTCAGATGTCAGTTGTGCCCCACTACAGCTATGTAATTTAACTATATGCTAAAGGGCTCAAAAGAAGGAAAAACCTTATCTTCAGTGTTGTTTCATAAAATACAGACACTCCAACCCACTCCCAGGAATTCAAGTAATATATTCACATACCTATAGCCTGAGCAAGGGCTATCACAACCTCCTGGCAAGTTGTTACTTCAGTGACCCCACAAACGATTCTTTGGACTCCATCCACCCATACTTTGAGCTCCATGGTTCACCAGATCAGCCAAGAGCCATGAATGTAATCACCGGTCAAGTCATGTTTACAGCTACACCAAAGATGACAGGGATGACTCCCCTTACCAGCTGGAAAAGAAAATAATCCTGTCTTTTAGTGTGAGACATAACCAATTTAATTTGGAACCCCCCACAAACTCCTCCCACCTCCACACAACACTCCCCAATTTACTTAAGATCTACAGGAGAGGGATAGAAGAATGTATGAAGTCCTGGATCAGATATTTCTTGAATCTCCAGTTACAGAACCTAACATGCAGAAAAAAACAACATTTAGCTTAAAATGAACGCATTTCGATCGCATTTCTGCATTCTCAGGTGGGTGTTGGAAGCCCAAGAACAGAAGCACCATGCTAAACCTTAGGAACCAGAAAGTAAAACCAGACCCTCTCTTTAAGATGAGGAAACCACACTCTCTCCTACAAAAAACAGGGAAGAGTAAATTTAATTTTAAAATTCAGTTTTTATTAATCTTCAGCTTTACTAACATGGTAGGTATTTTTATCTTGCCTGCATCTTTTTCCTCCAGCTACATCAATTTACTATGAACATTAAAATGTTTCAAATCAAGTTGATTTCATAACATACCCTTTGTAGAAAGTATTTCACAAAACACTTGACATGGAGAAATACAGAAAGCTGTTTCTAAAATAAAAAATGAGAATAAAGACTAATAGAAGAAACTCAATGAGAAGACTATACAGCTTGCTCCCTGCACTGCTTACTTTTGAAAGTTAAATCTATGGGAGGCGAGGCATTAACTCTACTTTCCCTGTGCAAAATGGATTTTCACAGTCCAGTCCTTAGTGCAGAAGCATCTACTTCACAGAGCCTGCCTAACACCCTTGCAGGCAGGCTCAGCCACGGGACCAAAACAGGCACAAAGACTGAATGACGGAGTTCAAGAAGGAGGTTCACTGGGAAAATTCTTTGGTGAAGTTTCCATATGCCTGCACGTAGCGTGTCAATTTTGCAGACAGACAGAAGCCTCTGACTACCAAGGATACTGTCAATTCTGAACTTTTCATTGGCATTACAATCAATTAAATAAAGGAGGTATTGCATCTGAACTGCAGCTGGTATAATTCAATGTAGCTTTGCCTCTGAAAGAGCTATAGCCAATTACATCAGTTGGGGTGCTCGCCCATTAACTCTTCATTTCATCACATGCAAAATTAATTATTAAAATACTTTCCTTTCATCTAAAAAGTTTAATCCTGAATAAGCAGAAATGCATCATCACCTTTGCTCTGAAATTCCTCAGTCACCCACATTCCATGTCAGCAGAGTGATGAAGAACAGGTCATAGCAGAGATAATTAAAGATTGCGCGAATTAATTTACAAGCACATTGCAAGAAGAATTTATTCTTCACTCATTTCTTGTGATCAGCTCCTTGTGTAGGCTGGATCCCCATTACTAAGAGGACAAACCATGCAAAAGTTATCAGTGTTCACTTGAAAATAACCGCAGTTCTGAATAAGTGGGGTTTGTAATAGCTCAGCTTTGCTAGGTTCTGTTTTTCTTTTTGCTGAAACAAATCTGTCTGGATTGTGTCCCACAAAAGTTAATTTCTAACTGGAACAACAAAGATGTTGAATTTCAAAGACTTCAAAGTAAACTCCAGGGAAGCACTGCCCAGATTGTTTAAGATAGGATGCTAGTGAGGTTGTTTTTTTTTTTTTAAACATAAGGAGATAGTTGGATTATTTAACAGATGGAGAAAAATAAACTGCGTTAATTCAGCAAAGGAAACTCAAATATTTGAGTAATCCCATATGGATAAAGGATGACATAAGTAGGGACGATGTTTTCAAAGACTTAAGTGCCAGGAAAGTAGACAACAGGGACAGAGAAAAAAAAAGATTTGAAAGTTATTTAGAGGAGATTATCACAAGAAAGAGGGGTTGGTTACACAAAACAGCTGGAATCTGAATCTGCTGATGGACCTAATACAATTACACTTGGAGACAAAACTGGTGTGGAAAGAATTCTGGACATAAATGCTTAACAGTTTTTGTTTTGCAATTTGTAACCTAAACTGAATATTTTGCTTTCTAATGAGAATGTCCCTGCTTCTATTTTTAAAAAAGTGTGAGTCTATCCCTTTAGTCACAGTGGAGAGATTATTCTACTTTTAAACCCAGTATTTTATTGCTACACCTGGCACATATTTGACAGCCTACTCAGGCAGCTGGCTGATCTGCATTTGGTAAGGTGTGACTCAGTCAACAACATGCCGCAGACCCCAAGTGGACCTCAAACCTGCACCCATGGAAGTCAGTGCTTCAGGTTCTCATGGAGCAGCATCTGAAGTCTATTCAGCAAATACCAAAAAAGCCTGCATGACCAGACTTCTAAAAGGAACAATGACATTTATCAATAAAAGCTAATTTCAAAATCACATGTCTCATGTTTCTTATGTGTCTCATGTTTCTGAACCAGAGGCTGTCAACCTTTTTTAGACTCAAGGCACCCTTTGAAAATTTCAGCTCTTAGTTTTCACTCTTTTTTTACTACTGAAAAATAGAGCAGTTTTTCTGTTGCAAAGAACTCAGAAAGACCACAACTATGGATTTCTATTTGAAATCTCTGGGCGCATCCACACATGCAAGCATATGCGCTTGCAGCAGCTCAGATAGAAGCGGTGCAAATTTGAGCCGTGGCTTTTTGCGTCAGTGCATGTGCTTGGACATGCACCTTGTTGTGAAGCAAACTGTGCCACTTGGGGCAAAATAACCCTGCCTGGCTCCTCCTGGATCTGCAGCCAGCAGCTCATGGCTACTTGCTCTCAGGATCTTCTGGGGGAGGAACCTCTGAGAGGAAGTTGGTCATACTCCTTCCTGTCCTAGGCTATTGCTGCTTGCTGCAAGCTTGGTATCAGGAGCTTCTGGGGAGAAGATAGCCAGGCCCTTTCCTGCCTCTGGCTACTGTTAGCTGCTAGCTTGGTCTCAGAGTTTTTGGAGTAAGTGGGCCACACCCCTTCCTACCTTGGGTGGCTGCTGCTGCTGCCTTGCCCCTCCCATGGGGGGGGGGTCCTCTGCT